CGCGAGGTGGCCAGACTAAAACATGGCATCAGTGTGTGAAGCCTTTGACTGTTGGTTTGAGCCGTGTACGGGATACAGACTAAATGGTTGGGGTTCGCGGGACAAGAGTAACCAGTAGTTGGAGACTATGTGATATGGTTCAGAACCGATGTCGGTGTCACAGATGTATATACACATTATCCTCATCTTAACACTATACCGATTCTCACCATCTTGTCATTCTTCCTTTATTTCTTCTCGTACTTCATATTTCTTTTGACTGAATTTTCTTATCTTCATCTTTCACCTCACTACTTTTCTACTTGATGTACTGATATGAGCTGTGGCAACTTGAACCGTTGCGCAGTAATATCTGGTCCTATGTTATTGATGGTAACGGTTAATTCTATGACGTCAAAAGGGGAAATAATATGCTGAACACGTTATTTCGCTACCGATTGCTGCTACCTCGACGTGACTGAGAAGTGATCTCAGTAGTACAATGTAGGCACATTATCTCGATCGTGATCTTCAGTTTTTTTTGTCTTTTCCTTTCTTCTCGTTGTATTACTTTCTTTTTCAGCTTAGTGCTTTCTACCTTGATGTAGTGATACGAGGTATGGCGGACTGGATCGTTACGCAGTATGCCAGTTCTCATGTTGCTTCTATTTGACGTATAAAAACCCGAACTGGTTGTTTAATCGAGAAACCATTGTTAGCTACTTAAGATGAATTCAGTCAAAAATGTATTTGCTGGACATCGCTTCTGATTGCATTCAAGCAGATCTCAGAACAAAACAAGCAAAAGTCTGTTATATTATTTTGCTTAGTGCACTTATCTGTGCATGTTTTGTGCCTAGTTCATGCTTAAATACAATAAGAACATCTTCGACTGTGAAAAAATATATCGTATTTCCAAACTCAAGTATGAAATTACCCGCAGAGTAACGTAATGTTTCATTTATAAAGAGGAACAATACCTCACTCAGAAAGTGACCGAAATAATCTGATCATATGGCTCGGTAGGTGGATGAAAAATCACAGCGTGATTTGTTTCACTTGATTGACCATATTTCTCATCAAAATTCGTGCAGATTTTATACTAACATCAAAGGGAATTGTTAGCAAATACCAAAAACCACGTTAAGTGTACCAGCCAATGAACAATGTCCGTCATCCAGCTGGTCAAACCGTTCTGATAGCAATCGATTTAAAGTCGCTTACTCACTGTTCAAAAGTCGAGAGTCTGAACTGAGAAGGAAAGTATTTAAAACACCAGTTAGATACTAAGTTAATGTGTCAACTACTTTTACCATCATTTTATTGTTTCCCTAAAACGACTTTTTTAAAAATTGTTTTCTCAT